TCTTGTCAAATCAAGGGATGAAAATTAATCAAATCTAAATATTTGTAATAGGGTCTAATAAGTAAGGGGCCTGAGGGAACTTGAAATTTACTTGTTATTTATTACAAACTCTTTTTTTTTTTGCAGACCAGTAAGGACCAGAAGAAGAAGGGGCATGGACAAGGATCTGACCATCGGGGAAAATCATTATGTGGACGTGGCAGTGCCCTACCATGGAACATGGCATAGACGAGGTTACACATCGAATCATGGGGTGGGGGTAGTGATACCGATCGATACAGGGGAGATTGACACAGAGGGTCTATCAAAATCATGTAAACAGTTTGAGTATAGAAAGGGTTGGGTCTTCAGTGTTCTCAGCCAGAGGGACCTTGATCGCCTTCAGAGACTCCAAAACTGAGCAGCAAGGCTTGTCTTTTCTGCTCCTCTTCGAACTCACATACAACCTCTTTGACTTGAACTTCATTGTACATGTTTATACAATGTTTTAGAACATTTCTGTGCTGCAACTCAGTGCCTTAGTTTTTATTGTACATGTTTATATATTTTTAACTTGCCTTTCATTTTAGTCATGTTTACATACACACTATATATGACATTTTAGTTATTTAGAGGAACTAGGGTGATATATATTTGGGTATTTATTACACCTTAAGTAGTAGAATAAGTCCAAGTAATATGTGCTGCAATTATGAACTTGCCTTTCATTTGAGTTTTTATTGTACATGTGTATACAATGTTTTAGAACAATCCTGTGCTGCAACTCGGTGCCTTAGTTTTTATTGTACATGTTTATATATTTTTAACTTGCCTTTCATTTTAGTCATGTTTACGTACACACTGTATATGACATTTTAGTTGTTTCTTTTTAACTTGCCGATTATTTAGAGGAACTAGGGTGATATATATGTGGGTATTTATTACATCTTAGTAGAATAAGTCCAAGTAATATGTGTTGCAATTACGAACTTGCCTTTCATTTTAGTTTGTAGTGTACATGTTTATATGATATATTTTTTACTTGCCTTTTATTTTAGTTTTTAGCATATGTACATGCATACAACTTTTGATATAAACCAAATACATCCTGCCACTTTCATTCAATTCATTTTTTTAATAAGCATCATGTGTGTATTGTAAGTTAACATTTAAGTTTAGATTTCTCAAAAATTCAATATATTATAGTCACCATTCGGTGTACTATAGAACACATTATGCTAACCATAGATCAAGACCCAAACTACCATTCTGAATATATACCATTTCAAAATGCTACAATTAAGCGTAACATTTTGTTGCATATTTTGAATGGTAGTGAATGGTAGATGAATGGTGGCTCTATGGTAGATGAATGGTGGCTCTATGGTAGATGAATGGTGGCTCTATGGTAGATGAATGGTGGCTCTATGGTAGATGAATGGTGGCTCTACGGTAGATGAATGGTGGCTCTATGGTAGATGAATGGTGGCTCTATGGTAGATGAATGGTGGCTCTATGGTAGATGAATGGTGGCTCTATGGTAGATGAATGGTGGCTCTATGGTAGATGAATGGTGGCTCTATGGTAGATGAATGGTGGCTCTATGGTAGATGAATGGTGGCTCTATAGTAGATGAATGGTGGCTCTATGGTAGATGAATGGTGGCTCTATGGTAGATGAATGGTGGCTCTATGGTAGATGAATGGTGGCTCTACGGTAGATGAATGGTGGCTCTATGGTAGATGAATGGTGGCTCTATGGTAGATGAATGGTGGCTCTATGGTAGATGAATGGTGGCTCTATGGTAGATGAATGGTGGCTCTATGGTAGATGAATGGTGGCTCTATGGTAGATGAATGGTGGCTCTATGGTAGATGAATGGTGGCTCTATGGTAGATGAATGGTGGTTCTGTGGTAGATGAATGGTGGCTCTATGGTAGATGAATGATGGCTCTATGGTAGATGAATGATGACACTATGGTGGCTCTATGGTATATGAATGGTGGTTCTATGGTAGAATATGTAGGTGTGGCCTAATTTGAATAAATGAATAAATTTGTCCCAATTATTTTAATTAGTTCTATGGTAAATGAATGGTAGATCTATGGTAGATTTGCTATGGTGTTTGTATGGTAATCTATGGTAGATTTGCTATGGTGTTTGTATGGTGTACCATAGAGATTTTTTTTGTAAGGGCAATTTCTTTCTTGCAGATAAACACCTAAATACACACACACATATACACTCCCTCAGGCACACACACACACACGAACACGCGCCCACACACGCACAAACATGTTCGCACATACCCTTTTCCACCTGCAAACATAATCGCTAACAAGTTGATTTGAAAAATGTTACTCATATATGTACTTCAGAATATCACAATGCTCGAATCATTGTTATCTTTAGCGAGGGTATTTGCTTTTCTACTCTCTTGTTTTATTTCTATACTATACAAGATTAAGTGTGAAGTTCGTACAGTTGAGTGTTGACATTATTTCAGCCTAAGTTATATGAAATAATAAACATATTTCTGCAATTTCTGGTACAACTATGAATAATACTCAACAATTTGTGGGTCGTGATTTATCTCAGGGAAAGTATCGTTCTTTGAACTCTGGTACCTGGTACATGCTATGGATGAGACAAACTTGAATGCCCTACGGCACGCCCTCATCGATCTTAGTACTCCTGGGGTCGAGGAAGAACTAACCGCAGACAAGGCCTATGACCTACTTTGTGACTGGAAGGATGAAAATAGATTCGACAATGAAGGAATAAGGCTGAAGAATGTATTACATGGATATGGACTTGACTGTTCCTGGAAAGAGATTTGTGGTTGGTATTGATTTAAATTTATTCTTAATGTAATGATCCACAGTGTAAGATGTTAATTTATTTGAGAGGTTAATTTATTTGTTCTTATTTATTTGTTCGTTTTGTTTTTAGAAGGTTTTACAAGGCAAGCAATGCAGTATCAATCGGACCATTAAGTGACATTGATTGAAAGATTTTATAAAATAGATGAGGAAAAGTACACTAAATACAACTTAAACTGTTTCGAATAAATATATCAAAAAGTGCATACTTTGTAGTATGTTTATTTATAAAGAAAAGAGAATGCGTGAAAATAAATGCGTCTTAGGGACTTATATCAAACATGACAAAATAATAAGTTTCAATGTTTTTGAATACTCACGAATATGAATACGATATTGTTCATTTTATGTAGAACGGAGAAATGATGTAATGTCTGCGGTTTCTGAAGAACTGCTGGATCATGTTTTACGGAGCATTGGTGATAAAACAAAGATTTGCCGATTCCTTCGTGAACTGATCCCCGAGAAACGTGAAACTCGACCCAATGTCTCAGGAAATAAAGGAGAGGTTATTGAGGAATCTATGGTTGTCTTGAGGGAATGGCGTGACAAAGAACACAATGTAAGACAAGTCATTCAATTAAGTTTGGCTCTAGAAAGAGCTAGGTGTAAGCCACTAGAAAGGACTTTCTTTCAGGGTAAGTTCCATGTGTTTTCGTCGAAGGTTTCGAATGATACTATATTTTTATGAGAAAAAATATTGTTTATGTTTCTTGCGTAATTAAAACTGTCATGTCTTTCACAAATATAACAAAACGTGCTCAATAAAGTAAAATTGTAATGCCCTGAGGTTTATCAATTAACACTTGAGGTACATCATATGATGGATAAAACCTGGAAGAAGATTGTGTTATCTTATTATCGTGTTCTTTCTCTTATCCTCCCCATCTCCCTGTCTCTCTTGATTCGTTATGATTTCCACTTTGAAAAGGATGCACCCGTGTGTCGCCCACTAGCTGCACCTCTGGGTGTCAGTGTTATTGATATTATTTCAACCTGTTTATTATTGAATTCCCTCTATCCCATAGGCATAATACAGGGACCACTCGGTTCCCGGAGGCAATCCCTTATGGAACAAGCACAGTGTTGCCACACTATGTTCACATAATCAATAATGTGTAAACTGTGTGGACATTATGTGTTCACATTGTTGTCACAGTGTGGAGTTTCAGACCGTTTTGTTTACCACATAATATCCAAACAAACTGACATACCTAACATAGGGTACCTCATATTTATCACAGATGAACTATGTGTTGACTATTTAGTCAGAGCATTGTCATTGTGTTGTGTTAAGATCATGTGGTTTACCACATAGTCGTACATATTAACACAGAGTGACACGTATATACCATAGTGTGGTATATACTGAACTATATGTAAACTATGTGTTCACAGTATTGTCAGAGTGTGGGGTTCAAATCATGAAGTTTACCAGAGAGTCGTACATATCTAACACAGGGTGACACATATTTAACACAGTGTGGTATGTAATGAACCATGTATAAACTCTGTGTTCACAGTATTGTCACAGTGTGGGGTTCAAATCATGAAGTTTACCAGAGAGTCGTACATATCTAACACAGGGTGAAATATATTTACCACAGTGTAGTATGGCTTTAACTTTGCAAAAACTCTGTGCTCACATTATTGTCACAGTGTGGGGTTTGGTTTACTACATAATCGGTCATACTTAACACAGAGTGACACAGAGTGTGGTATGTATTTAACGATGTGCAGACTCTGTGATCACAGTAATGTCACCGTTTAGGGCTTCAGATCATGTGGTCTTCCACATACTCGTACATATTTAACACAGTGTCCACATATTTACCACAATGTGGTATGAATCACTATGTGTAAACTCTGTGTCCACAGTAAATTGTCAGTGTGAGATTAGTAGACCATGTGGTTTACCACAAAGTAATATCCACATAGACAAGAAGAGGGGTTTTGTCATGTAATTATGATGTTCATTTTCTCCTCCTCTCTTCTTATCACTCTTCTTCATTTTTTCCTTTCAGCGCTGCTGGGTTTCAATGCTCATTATTTTTTATCGTTATTTTTTTATAGGTATTTATACAGTATAAACACTGGATATATTTCGCGACTTCTTATTTCTTTTGTCGTAGTTCCTGAACATCTTCTAAAAGCGATATCCCCACAAGAGGTAGAAGGGTTCGTTTACAGACTGACAGGAAGACATTGCAAGAGGCTTGCTAAGGCCGTATGAATCATCGATGAGAATAGAATCGCCACCATCATGGACGAAGACAATGAAGATCTTGTTCTCATTCAGTCAATGGTCAACGACTGGATAGAAGGACAGGAATGCTGCAACTTCAAGAAGAGATGCAGGCTTGATGATGCCACCATCAAAATTGGCCGCCATGATTTGACGGGTAATGGTTACATTAAATAATAGTTTTAACTTGGCTTTTGACAAGTATGTCTATATAGTTATTATTGACATCCAAGTACGTTAATTATAGCTCGAATTGTGTTTTGGTAGGAACTACCGTTATTTCTGTTTCTCTTTTTCAGATTCATTTGGGACAACCAGCTTCCGGGTTGAAACAGGAGGTATTTTTGAAAGACCACATCCCAAAGCCGGGACTTTCAGTAAGTTTGATTTTAGTTGTACATTTGAGTACCTAGTGAACCCTTTATTTCTCAATAACTGTTTTCTTGTGACAAACGAAAGGAACATTATCTAGCACTTAAACCATTCAACTTTTGTCTTACTATTATTTGATTTTGATTGACTCACAGAAAGCAGCAGTATATTCGATGACGATCTGGCATCTGTGCTGAAGCATCTTCCTACATGTGCGACACCGTTGTTTCTTGAGAAGCTAGGCATTTCAGTTGACGAGCAAGGTGACGATTTTGAGAAGCTGCGATGTTGGAGAGACCAAAGTATCAACGAGTCTAACAGACATACCCTGCAGGACCTTGTTTTGATTCATAGAGATGCGATGAACAAGACGAATGACAGTCATGGTAATTGTCTGAAAATACATAGATAGTAGGTCATAGGTAACAATTCGATAAAATATGTTTCTTACAGAGCGTTTCACCATAAACTGACCACTTTGCTTGGCAATCATTATTATTAATACTCCATCATTGGATTATTAATACTCCATACTTGGATTCAATAACGACCCTTCACATTACAGTGTACATTCTCCACCCTGGGGGAGCATTCTAGCTAGTCGCAGACGCTAATCGAACCAATATGCATGCTACCCATTTCACAAATGGGCAGAGAAGAGCAATGCAGATAAAATGCCTAGCTCAAAGACATAAATGCCGTGTCAGGACTCAATACCACGATATTTGCGTTTTCCTGTTAATCAGTTAACCACTCTAATACGACACCTCTGATCATTAGGCCTTGGGAATTTTACCAAATCAGAACCTCTGCTTAGATGAATCCTTCGAAAAGTGTGCTAGATTATTGAATGAAACAAATATTGCGTGGAGGTGTATTGGCACTCAAATCTCTGCAAGTGGCCCTTAAAAAATGGCGACTGGCTGGAATATTCCCCAGGGAGAGGAAAATGTGCAGACATTGTGTTGCGAGCAAGCCTGAATCCGTTGACCTGGGAAATCATATGTGCTGCGCCTAGAAATAAAGTATTAGGCGCATTATAAATGTGAGCTATTATTATTAGTATTAGTAGTAGTAACGCCTTTTACATTTAAAAGATGTCAATCTACTCTCCACCCAGGAGAAGCAAATACCTTGTCAGCTTGAGCGCATAAAATAGTAACTCAGCTAAAGTTTGGTACTAACAACATATTCCTTGTAAGAGTATGATTGATGGACCTCACGAAGAACATAATTAAACATGGCGAGATGTGGTTGTACAATTACGACAGTGTTATTATTATTATCATAATTATAATGTTGTTCTTGTTCATTATAAAAATAATACACTTTGAATAACTAAAATTTGTATTTGCCAATTGATTTAAACTGTGCATTGTAATGGAAAATCCCCGTAAAATTGGGGTTGTTTTCCTTCTTTCATCAGCATAAAAAACACGCAGTTATTACTTTAGAACACACAATACTTGTGCTTTCAGTCGGAAGCACAAGTTGCAAAGAGCGTTACTTACTATAATGATGTTGTATGTATACTTAATATTATCTATTGTCTGTAAAGTATTTGACTTGAACGATGATGAACTTGAGAACGTGATTGGAAGCATGACCTCCGGGAAACAAGTGGAAGAACTTACCTCAAGACTCGGGATAAAACTCGACAAGGAACAATCACCTCTACTAAAGCTCCAGGAATGGACGAATAAATGTAATGGAGACGAACGCCGTGAAACGCTGAGAAAAGCTCTTCATGCTATGGATTTGTCAGGTAATTATCAGTTTGATTTTCAAAATATTATAATGTATTTCAAAAATATATTTGAACTACAAACAAAGTCGGAAAATATGAGATTTCAAAATTAGAGAAAAAGAAAATTGTATATAATAATATCTGCTAAATGTACAAAATTCTGCTCACTTTTTTTTTTTTTTTACCGTAAAAGACACGAAACAGAAGGAAAAATATAGACCCCCACCCCCACCCCCACCCCCTCCCCCCACTTTTCTCAATCGCCGCTCTATTTTCTTATGTCTTATTGTTAAAGAAATTCTGAAGTGTTTTGTAATTGTAATTGTAATTAAAGGAAAAGATGCTATACCATATTATACGTGGATTGAACTGGATAAGGTTGCGTTGGATAGCAAAATTCATGAAAGGTTTCTAACACATTTGCACTTTTTTTTATCCGCGTCTTGGAAGATTTCATACTAAATGGTGGCAGTATTTGATATAGGCACAGCCTACGAGACCGATATTTGGGTCCGTCTGACAATTTTGTAATATCCACTAGCTGATGTCGATCGACTTTTTTTTCTTTCTTTGCTAATCGATTAGTTTCATTGTTTAGTTGGTCTCGTGTGCTGTTCGTCTAGTCGGCTGTTGGTCTCTCCGATTTCTCTAGCTGTCGTTCAGTCAACTAGAATGACCGTAGGCGCATGCAATATCTACTGTAGAACTTTCCCCCAAACAAACAACGTTCTCATGCCGATCCCAGAACGTCCTGAGTACGTTCAAACATAAATTATTTTGTGTTATTCTCCCTAGTTTCATATTTCACTCTCCGTCTCTTTCCATTTAGGATGCATCGTTGACCACCTTCCTGCAAAACATGTTGACCAAGCTGAGCTGGTACGTTTGGCATGGACTTTGTTTTCTATCGACGTTTGGCCATTGGCAACGCTTCTTGATATAGACATCAACAAAGGGAAAACGGTCGGAGAACCACAAATGAGGGGAACTGTACATCTTCTGAATCAACTATTGAAGAAGTCGAAGGGTCTTGATGAGCATCGCCGCCTTGATTTCTGTGTTGCCATTATAAATCTTGGTTACTTGGATGTTGCTAGATCAGGCTATTTTGGTAAGGAACATAAACAGATTTAACATGCTACCTATTATTCTATTATTCACCGATGTAGGACGCTACACTTTCTAATTTAAAGCTATGGTAAGTAAAAATTCCATGCATATATATGAATGAACGTATGTATGAATTCATATAGAATACGCATTTTAATAAGAATTTAGGTTAAATAGATGCCTGGATTCATTTAGATGCTCAGTTTCCGGCTATCATATATTTTCTAACAATATGGTTTGCCTCGTCACAATTATTTGTAAACTTAAATAACTAGTGTGACCTTCGTTTGTTTCCGTGAATTTATTTTACGTCTTTCTTAAAACTGAACATTATCTTTCATCAAGTTCTGAAAAGGACATTAGAACCTTGATCTATTCTCCCTCATGTCTGAGATAATGTTTTATAAAGAGTCACTCTTTCGTTTTGTAAGCAAAATATCTCATTTGGATCCATTTCACGAAAATAGCACATTCGTACAAGATCTATGCTACTTTTCCCCAGCCTGGGTTTTGTTTTCTTTACACATTTAAAATTCTCAAATCCATGCCTGAAGGTTATGACGCGAGCCTCAGTGAACTTTGCAACATGACGTCGGGATTGTCGGAAGTAGAACTTGTAAAATTTGTCGACCATCTTGGATTGGAGAAAGACGTTCTTTCAATCTGTCAAGGAACAACAGGAGCATACGACAACCTCAGACTTATGAAGGTCTGGAGAAACCAACTTAGACTACAGCCACTTCACTTCAGATTCGAGCTAGCTGTGGGTCTTCGCGCTGTTGGAAGAACCGAGATTGCCAGTAAGATTCTCGCCGGTAAGCATCATTAAAGAGAAATTAATGCATAATATATAATGTACTTGATTTATATTATTTGTACTTTTTGTATAATTTACCAATTTAACTGTTCATGTATTTCTAAAATATTTAATAACTTTTTCCAAACTGATGTGCTGACTTTGAGGTATTAGCAGGTAACTGATGTCTTGTATATCTGATTGGGAGGGCAAACGTAATCACTGCAAGAACCTCACCCACGACCACTGCATGGAGCTATAGGAGATAGCTCCATGATTACTATAAACCACTTAACCTCTACACACAGAGGTCCCACTAGCATCGTCTCTTACCTTCTCCTTCCCCTCCAATGTTAATCGAATAGTGCAGTGCCCAAGACGAAAATCCAATTGAATCCCCATTGAATGTCCCCTTTGAATCCCAATTGGCAATTTGGAGTACATGGAAAGTGAAACAATGGGTACCCATTGAAACCAATTGGCAATTGGTCCCTATTGAAACCAACTGGCAATTGGTTTTAATGGGGACCAATTGCCAATTGGTTCCAATGGGGACCAATTGCCAATTGGTTTCAATGGGTACCCATTGTTTCACTTTCCATGTACTCCAAATTGCCAATTGGTATTGAATTGGGATTCAATGGGGGCATTCAATGGGGATTCCATTGGTAAATCGATCCAGTTAGAAGAACCAGTGATAGATTACTGATACTTCATAATCGATATTGGCAACTGTCCACCAATCCACCAATTGGGTATATTCCAATCTCATTTGCATTAACTTCATCACATAGATCATTTGAAGTGAATTCAAGAGTTACATTTACAGTGACACAGGCTCGTACACATATATATATACTAAATATGCATGTTGTTTCTTGGTTAGTAATTATATAATCAATATATCTATTGCTAAAACGTGAATGTAATTGTAACATGATCAGACAAAATAATATATTGGTTAATAATTGCCATAGGAAAATAGAAATCACAAAATTGATGTGCATTGTCATAATTTGCTTAACAAATCATGATAAATTTATTTTTCTGTGACACGTGTAAATTAATGAATATTCATGAGATGCCTAGATTTGTTGGTTTCTATTGGTTTCAGTTGGACCAATTGAAGTCCAAATTAAGGCCAATTGGTCCAATTGGGGACCCATTAAAGTCTAATGGGGCCTAGACCAATGGGGCCAATGGGTCCAATTTGTCCAATGGGGCCAATCTGGACCAATTGAAACCAATTGGGGACCCATTAAAGTCTAATGGGCCTAGGCCAATGGAGCCAATTTGTCCAATGGGGCCAATCTGGACCAATTGAAACCAATTGGGGACCCATTAAAGTCTAATGGGGCCTAGGCCAATGGGGCCAATTTGTCCAATGGGGCCAATCTGCACCAATTGAAACCATCTGAAGTCCTATTAAAGTCCCATTGAAACCTGTTAAAACCTATTGAGACCAATTGGAACCAATTGAAACCAATTGAAACCAATTGAAATTTCAATTGGTGTTCAATTGGTTTCAATTGGATTTTCGTCTTGGGTGGGTTCTTAACGGGCAGTTATTGATTCTCATATCTTTAAGCATACCTGTTATTATGTTTTTACTGTGAGAAGAAGATCGAGATACAGAGATAGAAGGTGAGAAGTAGCTTTATGAAGGCTCTACACGTTTTTAAAATATCTGCTTCATCATAATAAAAAATGACAAAAAAGACTGTCTTACAAATAAAATAGGCCTGTACCATTCTTTGGAATTTCTCTGATTTCCCTTTAACTTATAGGTAGGCATCATACTAATGAAGTAGGTTCCAGCGTTGTCGAAAGCATATGCAACAGTCTAGAGAATGATCAAATGAAAAGACTCCGTGAACACCTTAGACTGAAGACTCAGGATGACCAGAGTCCTACAACGGTTACAGCAGCACTTGTGACGGAGTGGGCACGAAACTGGTTAGAAGAGTTCGGAAACATTTCAGTAATGAAATTATTCAAGGACAAGATTAAGTGTCCGGAAAATACTAGCGACAATGAATCTGAAGTCTAGCCAGCAACAAAACAAAAGTGAGAAGACAGTTAGCAATCGTGAATCTGAGCCTAACAACTGAATAAAACATTGACATTTCATGAACTTTGTTTTACAAAAATGAGAGTGTGCTGCTTTTTGTTTTGCTTCCTTTTTTTCTTCCTTTCTTCCTATTTTTCTTCTTCTTTGTCTTGTTCTTCTTCTTCCGTATAACCCTTTGGAGCTAAATTGACAACTCAAGTTTGAAGATCCACAAAAGGGGGTAGAAAAGGGGTATCGAATGCATGTCGCAGCACTAATGTCCTTTTTGAAGACTTTAGTCTATACAGTCACCACACGCCACCCAGGTAAGGTTAATGGGTACCTGCCAAGAATAAATTCCTTAGAAATGCTCGGGCGCTGTAATGGCAGCCGTGCTAATGCCGTTGTAATAATGACAGAGCGCCAGGAGTGGCATAATGTACGCGACTCCACTATTATTAATTTGTAACGTGGCCCAATATGATGAGGTTGCTTGATGCCTTATATGAACCTTGTCGAAATGGAATCGTTGATGACGTGCGACAACATCCGGTATTGATGTTTGGTTGTATGATTTATTAAAATACTGAACTTGGAATTATATTAAGTGTACAATATAGAAACAATTTCACTTACAGATCAATGTTGTAACAATTATATTAAGGAAACTATCAACATTCATAACAGTGGGAAAGGCGGTGACCACAGTTGCATGCTGCCGGCATTCTCTCTGTATTTTAATTGTATTTAGCTCAGTCCTGGCATGCTCAATCTCGAGTATGTTCATGGAAGTCTGTGCATTGTCACATAGCTTGGGTTGGGTTGTATTGCACAGATTGGTTCTTTACTTGACCAATAACTTGGGTATTTAAGCATGCACTTTAAAGAGAAGGTTAAGTTCTGGGAAGAGGTGAAAAATCATTTGTAAGCGTTATTATTGTATTATGCAAGTGTGGAAGAACATCTGTTAACAAATGTTCCCTGAAAAGCATTGTTCTTCAAATGCATTCTAAATATTGCATGTAACATCATAAAAGTCGGGACGGAATTTAAAGCCCCATGTTCGTGTTGTCCCATGTCTTTATGTGTACAGTGCTTGTAACCATACTAAGACTGGGCTAAATGTATTATGATTTCGTTGACTCCAGAACCTTGCAGTACACACTAATACTAGATGATCAACTTTTTTTTGATCGATTCCATAACGTTTCTTTCACAATGATTTTGAATGAACAGAACTTTATCTTTAATTCAACTACTACATTCCTTAGTATATTTATTATCGTTATAATTTTTCTTTACATGCTTTGTTGGAATATGCAAATGAAACAAACTATATGAAGAGTGAACTAGTATGTAGTCAACCCTATTTAAACTAATTTCTCACTAAACTAACGACGCAGCATTTCCTGTATACGATGTAATTATATAATACAGTATTCTCCAAACTTTTCTAAAAACGGCCCTTCGAAGGGCCACTTCTCCCGATGAATCGCACAAATCCTTCGCATCTATCAACACGCTGTGGAATATATATATACAGTGCGTCCCAGAAAAAACGAAACCGAGAAGTATCGATGTTCTATCATAACTTAATCACAACTATATTTAATGAATGATACATATTTGGAAAGCTTAGAGTCTCCTCTTCCAGTTAATACTACTCTGATGATGTATATTTCACGCATGAGTGATTAAAAGCAATTTGAAGGAAGGAAACCAAAAAGACATTTGGCGGGCGGTATCTGAATTTCGAAGAAAAATTCACATTTCCAGAAAGTTGAGTTTCTGCCCTTTCATATGACACCTCAATCAGGAAAAATGAGTGAGGAATGACAAAGTTCTGTTTGTTTAAAGTAGTGCTTGCATTTCCACACTTTTATTAAACGAATTCGTTTTCACTGGCTGCCTGCCGTATCAATAAACGAAATTAACAAAAGACTTAACTCCGTTTCATTGACAATCAGCCGTAGACGAGAGTCTTCATGCATGGCTGATTGTCAACGGAACGGAGTTAAGTCTTTTACCAAATCTGCTTTTTGCTACGGCAGGCACCCAGTGAAAACGAATTCGTTTGTTAAAATTATGAAAATGTAAGGGCTACTTTAAACAAACAGAACTTTGTTATTGCTGGCTCATTTTTCTTGATTGAGGTGTCATATGAAAGGGCAGAAACTTAGCTTTCTAGAAATATGAATTTTTCTTTGAAATTCAGATACCGCCCGCCAAATTACTTTTTGGTTTCCTTCCTTCAAATTGCTTTTAATCACTCATGTGTGAAATATGCATCACGGGAGTAGCATCAACTGAAAGAGGAGATTTTAAGCATTCCAAATATGTATCATTTATTAATTATGGTTGTGATTAAGTTATGATAAAACATCGATACTTCTCGGTTTCGTTTTTTCTGGGACGCACTGTATAGTGTATTATTAACCGTATCAGACATCTGAGCAGGGCAATTTTTAATTGTTATCGCCCTCAAGGTTTTGATGGATAAGTCAACAAAATTACAATAAGTTAGTCCGCGCAGAAAAGTCAATGGGATTTTGTGTGTAATTTGGCGGGCAATATAGGTTATACAGTAAACCAATGCGCAAATATTTTAGCCCGCTCAGAACAGTCAATGGGATTTGTGTGTAATTTGGCGGGCAATATAGGTTATACATTAAGTCAATGGACAAAGATTTTAGCCCGCTCTGAAAAGTCAATGGCAAAATGCGTGTTAAACTAGTGAGCAATTATAGTGCCAGTTGTAATTTACATCGCGCATCAGCTATTGTAATTTACATCGCGCATCGTGTATAAGAAAATGCGCACTTTGCGCGAACTCCATTGTGACGTAACAATCACACCCTAGGCAAACTGTTTGCAGTGTATCGAAAATCTGTCAAACACTGGATGAACAGTGCTGGTTTGACAATGTTTTTGCAACTTCTAATGCTAGGAAACCCTGTGTAGCCTACATAATTTAAGAGTATAAGATAGTAAGAGTTTCTTGTTTGCTCTAGATGTCTGATGTGGTTAATAATAGTAATATTGACTGCCTAATTCGGGGCAATACGACTTGTCATATATCACCCTCACTTTCGGTTCGGGCGATATATGTCGTATTGCCCAGAAGGCAGTCAATATTACTTAAATATAAAAGTGTTGTGGGAAAGGAGGAAAAATAGGTGCTTTCCTTTTTTAATTAGCTTATACTATACATTCATTATACAGTGCTGCATCCACTTGTAAAGTGACGATTATAATGGCAGTATGATAACCATGTGTTGCTATAGCATTTATTAGTGTAAATCGTACTTTATCCTTTTTGTAAATCATTCTAACTCATGGTTAACGATTTTGTATTACCTTAGTTTCATACTTTTTCCTTTTTGAATCTAATATCTGGACAAAGGGTATATAAAGTGAGAAGGTCGTGTTCATTCTCTTAAAATTTGTAATCCGTTCAAAATACGTTGATCCTTTTTTTTTTTTCTTTTTAAGTGTTTGGTTTCAGAGTGTGACTTTGATGAAAATACTAATTTGTGATCATCAGGGCATGAAGAAAAAATCATAAAAGACACGAAACTTTGTCATTACAATACCCACCAAAAAATGTACATACTTTTTCAGCAGTTTAAGGTTCATCCACATGCAAAATTTTCGTTTTAGGCAATGCATATGAAGTTACTGCTAATTGTGGAAACGTTAGGTACATCGGAAACGCTGGTCAGTAGACGATTATCAATAAAAACCTATACTTTTTGACATACTGTTATATATAAAAACGTGGACAATTTCTGACCAGCAATTTACGTCTATTCGTCAAGTGAGTAATTTCAAACTACTTGATACGGCCGATTGCCAAATGAATTGCCTGTCCTTCCTCAACTTTAGTACAACCATACATCTGAAACTAATTCAAAATATTTAGTATTTTTGTCAGTGAGTTATAATATAGATCCGATTTGCTATTGATTTGCGATGATGTAAAGGTATTTATTGTAGCTTTCAAATCAAATATGTGTTTTCCGAATGCCAATAACAAAAGTGCATTTACTCTCATATTTCTTCTCGAGATATACTCTAGATATATTCGCATTTAGATAACGATAAAAGAAGAAAGAGGACATGGTGAATGGAGATATGTAAACAAAAATAACGTATGGCATATTTAAGTTTAAATACGTTAGTATTTTCCCTAACGGTTAGATTGGTTTACGCTCAAATTTCATTTTTATACAAACATGTGTTAATAAATTTGATGTTGATACATTCGGTTAATAAATAAAGGTTTGATGTTTGATCTCTCTCTCTCTCTCTCTCTCTCTCTCTCAATCTCTCCCTCTTTTCCTTTTATTTTTTTCATTCGCATGAAAAATTGATTGATCTCCAAATAGTCTCATATTTCGAACATACCTAGGGGAACAGTTCACACATGTATACTGTTATATGTTTGTTTAGTCCCGCGCGCCTACGTAAATATATTTAAATTAGAATCTGTCATCTACTAGAATTAATCATATTTCCCTGTAAGTTCGCATCTAAAATTCTAAGTTTAATCAATTTTGTCGTGTAAACCTTTGCAGTCTCAGTGTGCATATGATGAGTGAGAGCAAGGAAGGCTACGTTAGTTGCATGAACACATTTTTCATGATATATAAACTGCCATGATGACTTTAAGATTAATGTTATGGATATAATCATATCGCCTAATATGTCTGGGCGATGTGCAATTAATGTGTGTACTGGGCGATGTGCCAACATAATGAGACAAACATCGCAAAAATGAAAAGGCGGACCTCGGAACCTATCTGCAAAGCGTGCACGCACGAGATTTTGGGATATCGTACCAATCCGATTTCATTTGTGTATGCAATAATCCTTTCATGAAAGGATTATTGCATACACAAATTAAATCATTATTTTCTCTTCGTTCTTTGCTTATCAATTGTGGGGGGGGGGGGGTCCTCTTTTGCGCCTCGTAGCTACGTAACTGTAATTTATCAATACCAAAACTCTTCCAACATAACAGGGGCATAATATAAATTAACCCAAATCTACTATACAAACCTTTGCACAGAATATGAATATACAATGAACTTCCATGGAAGCTGTCTAGGGAGAGTGAAAAAACATAAAGTAAAACAAAATTGAGAGAGAAAGAGAGAGAGAGAGAGATGTGGGAAACTCATGATTTGAAGGAATGGATGTGTGGTCGAAACGTTCTTTCATAAATAGTTTAGCAATGGATCAAAGCGTTAAAACTATAATATGAGGTTATTGTTGTTGTTAGTTGCGGATGTGTTGTCCCCGTGGACAAAAATACACTCTGTCCTGTGTCAGTGTGTTTATTACTATTTTAATGACTTGTCTGTTTCTTTGGTCACACTTTCTATCCATCTACTCTTCTACTTCCCTATTCTCCTTTAACCCTACATTCTGCCAGGCATGATATGATGCTCCATAAGTTGTCTGGGGGTAGTTGTCCGGGGGAAGTCATCCTAGCGGGTGGTTACCCTAGGGGTAGTCGACCTAGGGGCCAGTTGACTGGGGGTAATATCCGGGGTGGTTGTCCAGGGGTAGGTGTCCTAGAACCGAGTTGGGCAACCTGGTTCAAGTTGCGACCAAGTGGAATCAAGATGGTCGAGCTGAGTATAAAGAGGACTCAATTGTACTTGTACGTGTAATATTCAGAGAAAGAGAGCCAGAGAAAGAGAGAGATAGAGAGAGAGAGAGAGAGGGGGGGCAAAGAGAGAGACAGAGATCATTTATTAGCATATGTTTTGAAAAATGAAGAAAAAAGCCTTTCATTTTCACC